ACCCGATTCAAAGACCAGGACGGCTCAGGCGGCGCATGAACTTGCGGAACGGAGCAAAAGTGACATCCACTTCGAACCCAAGCTGGAGTGGCTCCATCAGTGCCACACGATAAGAAGCGACGGTATTCGGCATAAGATGCCAGTTTTAAAAAAGACAAGAGAAAGAACAAAACAACATGATCAGAAATGGACGACAACCTACGAAGGGAAAGGAAATAGCAAAAAGATAGCCAAGAGACTTCATACCGTCACTGAGAGGAGGACCACAGGTCTTCAACTGCAGTGGTGAAGACCGCACCATTGGATCTGATCACCATACAAATGGTGATACACTCGCGTCAAAAACACCAAACACAAAGCAAGGTACCTTACTGGCTTGACTTGTTGAAAGAGGCAGAGCCGCAGAAAAACTCTCAGGTTTGGACATTGAGCAAGCAGTGCCTGAAACAAAGTTGGCCAGCCACCATGGAGCCAGGAGAACTACCCTGCCCCGAAAGGATTCGGGCTGAGCCAGAACCTGAAACAACAGCTGGACCAAGAGAAAAAGGTAAAGGAACCCCCACCTCAACCAATCCAGCCAAAAGGCGTCTACAGTAATGGCTTCACAGTCAGGGAAGGGCGCCACAAACTGGGAGGTGCCGAGACCAATCCGACGCAAAGAGGTCCACGTCCGGACACCAAAACGTCCGGCAAAGCCAACTGAAGGAATTGGCATCGACCATCCACTCTGTGGATAGAGGAATGAACCAAGACAGGCCATCCACCAGGATGTTGGACACTCCCCTGATGTGAACCGCACAGAGAGCTAAACCCCAAGAACCCAGCAGACAAGCCACTTGAAGAGCCCTTCCCCCCTTCCCCACCCGGGTCAGACAATGAACCACCGGTGTGCAGTCCGAATGGAGCCAGATCACAGAGCCCTGAGTGAGCTGAATCTATCGCAGCAAGAGCCACACAGCTGTGAAGTCCCGCACCGTGCTGTGAGCCCGACGGAACAACGGACCCCAACAATCTTGACCGGACTGGTGAGCACTGATCATAAAACCCCAGCCAAGGGATGAGGCATTTGTGAACTCATCAAGCAAAGGAACAGGTAGACGCCGAGGCACTGAACCCCGAAAAACCCGAAGAATAAGATGGAGATGCAGTAACCGACGCAATACTTCCCGGGAGGACGAACCCATCGATCACGAGTGTGGCAGAAGGGACTGCTCCGAAGAAACCAGAACAGCCTCCAAAGCCAACCCGACCTAGTGGAAAAACCAGAACAGCGAAGTTCAGACTCCCGCATAGCTGCTCCTGACAAGTGACCCAGGACTCCTCCAAGAACAGCTGAAGGAAGCAACGCTGCAAGAGGAAGGGACACGGACGCCATCCGAGAATCCCAGACCAGGCCCAGCCAAGTCCGAACCTGGGACGGAATCAAATGGGACTTCCTTCAATTCACCAGAACCAAAACTTGGTGAGGTGGGAAAGAACCAAATCCCTGGCGAGCAGACAAGCAGACCGGCTGGCCGGGTAAGACACATGAAAATGTGAGGTTCTAGATTCAGCCTGAATGGAAGGCAGCGAAAGCGTTAAGCCTGATGCCCCACCACAAAACTAAATCAATCCCTGAACCCCAGGTGACTAAGAACGTGCCAATATGCATCCTTGAGGTCCACGGGACACCAACCAAGTACCTGGTTCGAGAAGAAGCCGGACCTGGGATAGAGTGGTCATCTGAAAGGAGAGGCAAGGAATCCAACGGTTCAGATGGGACAAGTCCAGAATGAACCAAAGATCCGCACAAGTTTCGAACAAGCGCGAAACCCACTTGAGATATGAGGTCGTTTCGACCATGCCCAAATGCACCCACTCCAAGATGACCCAAAAAGGGACTGGGAGGAAGCCTGCCCTGCCAGCCCTGAACCCCCCAGAGGAGGAGGAGAAGGAGGAGCTGTCCAACGCCACCAAAGGCCGGATGACAGAAGGAACCCAGAGAGAGAGAAAGGACAAAAAAAATAAAGATCCGAAACCAAAGACAATCTACAAAGGGACAAAAAGCAACAAAAGGATGGCCAGGAGACTTCATACTGCTGCCGAGATGAAACTCGCAGGTGGGACATCATCAAAGAAGCCACCTTATCACCATACAAATGGTGATAAACCCGAGTCAGAAAGACCAGACGCGAAGATCGGAGAAGATAGAACCAGCCATGTACCAAACTGGACCGATCTGTTGAAAGAAGGGGAGCCGCAGAAAATTCCCAGGATTCGGACACCGAGCAAGCCGTGCCAGAAACCAAGGCTGGGCCGGCCACCAAGAGGCCAACAGGTTTATTCTCCCCTGTTAAGTCTCCAAATGAGCCAGGAACCTAAGCAACAGCAGAACCGGTGGGAAGAGGTATAGGTAACCCTAACCAGTCCCGCTGAAAGGCATCGATCCCAATGACCTCGCAGTAAAGGATGGGCGCCACATATACCAGGAGATGCCTCGCCCATGCCAATGCAAAGAGGTCCACCTCCGGGCTCCCGTACGTCTGGCAGAGCCAACTGAACGAGTCGGTGTCAACCATCCATTCCATGGAAAGAGGAATGAATCGGGACAGGCTGCCTAAGATGTTGGACAGCCTACGAACGTGAACAGCCAGGAGAGCCAAACCCCGAGAACTCAGCAAAGGAATCACCCACAGCGACCTGTCCCAAAGAGCCAAGGACCACATCAAACCCCCCTCAGTTAAAGCAATGAACCACCAGGGTGCCAGAGTTACCTTTGTAAGGCCAGGGTTACCTCTGTAAGGCCAAGGTTACCTCTGTAAGGCCAAGGTTACCTCTGTAAGGCCAGGGTTGCCTCTGTAAGGCCAGGGCTGACTCTGTAAGATCAGGGTTACCTCTGTAAGGCCAGGGCTACCTCTGTAAGGCCAGGGCTGCCTCTGTAAGGCCAGGGTTACCTTTGTAAGTCCTGGGTTACCTCTGTAAGGCCAGGGTTACCTCTGAAAGGGCAGGGTTACCTCTGTAAGGACAGGGGGTTATCTCTGTAAGACCAGGGTTACCTCTGTAAGGCCAGAAATACCTCTGTAAGACCAGGGTTACCTTTGTAAGGCCAGGGTTACTTCTATAAGACCAGGGTTACCTCTGAAAGGGCAGGCAGAGGGTTACCTCTGTAAAGGCAGGGTTACATCTGTAAGACCAGGTAGGGTTACCTTTGTAAGGCCAGGGTTACCTCTGGGTTACCTCTGTAAGGGGGTTACTTTTGTAAGGCCAGGGTTACCTCTGTAAGACCAGGGTTACCTCTGTTAAGACCAGGGTTGCCTCTGTAAGGCCAGGGTTACCTCTGTAAGATCAGGGTTACCTCTGTAAGGCCAGGGTTACCTCTGTAAGGCCAGGGTTACCTCTGTAAGGCCAGGGTTACCTCTGTAAGACCAGGGTTACCTCTGTAAGGCCAGGGTTACCTCTGTAAGACCAAGGTTACCTCTGTAAGACCAGGGTTACCTGTGTAAGACCAGGGTTACATCTGTAAGGCCAGGGTTACCTTTGTAAGACCAGGGTTACCTCTGTAAGACCAGGGTTACCTCTGTAAGACCAGGGTTACCTCTGTAAGACCAGGGTTACCTCTTACTAAGACCAGGGTTACCTCTGTAAGACCAGGGTTACTGTAAGACCAGGGTTACCTCTGTAAGGCCAGGGTTACCTTTGTCTGTAAGACCAGGGTTACCTCTGTAAGACCAGGGTTACCTCTGTAAAGGTTAGTAAGGTTACCTCTGTAAAGGTAGGGTTACCTTTGTAAGGGGTAGGGTTACCTCTGTAAGGGGGTAGGGTTACCTCTGCAAGGGCAGGGTTACTTCTGTAAGGCAAGGGTTACCTCTGTAAGGGCAGGGTTACCTCTGTAAGGCCAGGGTTACCTCTGTAAGGCCAGGGTTACCTCTGTAAGGGTAAGGTTACCTCTGTATGGGCAGAGTTGCCTCTGTCAGGGCAGGGTTACCTCTGTAAGGGCAGGGTTACCTCTGTAAGGCCAGGGTTACCTCTGTAAGGCCAGGGTTACCTCTGTAAGACCAGGGTTGCCTCTGTTAAGACCAGGGTTACCTCTGTTAAGACCAGGGTTACCTCTGTAAGGCCAGGGTTACCTCTGTAAGGCCAGGGTTACCTCTGTAAGGGTTAGGTTACCTCTGTAAGGCCAGGGTTACCTCTGTAAGGGTTAGGTTACCTCTGTATGGGCAGAGTTACCTCTGTCAGGGCAGGGTTACCTATGTAAGGGAAGGGTTACCTCTGTAAGGCCAGGGTTACCTCTGTAAGGCCAGGGTGACCTCTGTAAGGCCAGGGTGACCTCTGTAAGGGCAGGGTGACCTCTGTGATGAGAAGTTCTCGTGTGAAGCAGTATATATAACAAATTCCTATTTCAAGATTAATGTTTTTTGCATGTGGGGTCTCATGATAATGTTACTGAAATATTTTAGAGAGAGAAAATATTGCACAGAACAGGAGCAAGAACTAAGGTAACTCCTCAGTCACCACTACAGAAATACCTTGATGAAGGCGCCTTAAAGTCTGCATTCTGACGTTGAATTTCCCTCTTTATATCTTCTGCTCTCAAACTGGATACTTCACGCTGGGTTTTCATTGGATTCGATTTAATAAATCTTTCTGTTTTCTTCAAAACTTTCCGGCCATTTGTTAAAAGTTCATCATCCATCCATGCCTTTTTGGAGTACTTGTAATGGGTTTTGTAATATTATGCTTAACTTACTACCTACATTATTGAGATTTATATTTTTGGCAAAAAGATATTCTGGAATTCTATCATACTTTTCCAAAACTTGATTAGCAAGCTTAATTTCTTCATCATCACTTACATCACTCGAGCTCTTACAAGCAAAATTGTGCTGTTTTCTTGTACGTGTCGGGCTGGATGAGACGCTTGATGTTACATCACGTGATGGTTGGCCAGTGTGTGATACATTGGTGTTACTCTCTATGCTACTCTTCTCACTTGACAATGACGGAGTGCTTTCACTTCTCTCTTCATGTGTTGTTGCTAATTTTTTACTCCACTTTTTGGACTTTTCCATTTTAATGCGAGTAACAAGATTGGAGTATTTTTCCTTCATTTTATTGTACTTAGATTGATGAATGCACATATTTCTGCTGCAGCAGGAAGAGGCATCTGAGGTCAACTTGTGAGTTTGTAATTCCTTGACTTTCTTTTCCTGGTTTTTAGTGCTTCAAGGTCTTCCTCGAGACTCCTCCGCCTCTCTCGTAGTTCTCTCAATATATGGTCATATTTTTTCACTTCTTCATTTAACTTCCCATTTTCTCTTCTCACATTTACATCTGGGATAAATGTTTCTTCATGTGTACTATTTTTTCTATTTGATTCCATTCCTTCTCCATGTTTGTCATTATCATCATTATCATCATCATTATCATTATCTCCTTCATCCAGTTCATCTTGTCCTAAACTATTCATTCTTTGATCATATTCAATTTTAAACTCGGTCAATTTGTTCTCAAGTTCTGTCTTTTGTATTGTTAATTCAGCCTTAAAGTCGGATTTGAGTTTGGACAAGTCTTCTTCATGCTGTACCTCCAGCTTGTTAATGTTCTCACAGTGTATTTCTTCAAGCTGCCTCACCTCTATTTCATAACTTTCTTTCATTTTAGCAAGTGAATCAGCATGGATCTTCTTTTCCAGTGTTTCCTGAAAAAAATATATATAATATTAAATAAATACCATTGAATGTAATGTAATACCTCTTTCTGGTAGAGCACCGGTGTCTACCTGAAGCTATCTTGTTAACCACTTAACTAAACCAACCATTACAGTGGCACCTCGACTTACGATAACCCCGACTTACGATAATTTCGAGTTACAATGTAAATTTGATCGAAAAATGTGACTCGACTTACGATAGTGTCGTCGACTAACGATATTTGTTGGTACACGTTTGGGTCGACCGAGTGCGTGGTTCCCAGTCACGCATGCCAACCTGCCTCAGTTTACTAGAGCTGCCCGCTTAGTGACAATCACGCCTATAAGAAATTCCATTTTATCGTGATTTTTTGCTTTTTGAACATAAAACTGATTATTATATATCACGCCATGGGTCCCAGAAAGTCAGTGGTAAGGTTCAACCTAAGAAAATAGTTGTGAGTAGAGGCAGTAGAGGATGCCCCTTCCTCATTAAGAAAATGTGTGAAGTATGGGAAGAACTGCAAAGTTTTGTTGAAAAAACTCCCCCCAGATAAAGCTGTAGCAGGCCATTGCATTGACCTTTAAATGACAATGTGATGTCTTACTACAGACAAGTGTTAAAATGTAGGGAAAAACAAGTGTCTTTAGACAGATTCTTAGTAAGACAAGCAAGCAGTGAGCCACAAGCAGGTCCTTGTGGTATGCAGGCAAAACATGCCAGAGAGTGTATCCCAGAAAAGTCATCACTGCCTGATGTTATAATGGAAGGGGACTCCCAATCAGTAACACCTCTCCTCCTCCTCCTCATCACTATCTTCCATACGCCATTAAGAGTCCTCCATAAAGGTAAGATAAACATATGTACTGTATTTTAGTTTGAGAAAAAAAACGGCATTGAATGTATGTATGTAACATCTGTATATAAAAGCAAAAACAGTATGGTGGGAGGAGAATGTTGGCAAGTGAGGAGGTGACTGAGGGAGTGTTGGCCAGTGGCTGGCTGGTGTGTGGCGGCCACTCTTCATTGCTTTTTGACTCTCCATACCAACTTAGTGGTTCGTTATGGTGTCCAAAACATGCAGATACTTATATATAACCTGTGTATATAGAGTAATAACAGCAAAACTATTTGTTTATTGTTTATGAACATAATAATTGAATCACTAATATGTACACTATAATTTTGAGTACAGTGGTACCTCGGAATACGAGTGTCTCTGAATACGAGTGTCTCTGAATACGAGTTTTTTGGAATACGAGCAGGATTTGCTCGGAAAATGTGCCTCGGAAGGCGAGGGTTACCTCGGAAGGCGAGGGTTACCTCGGAATACGAGCAGGATTTGCTCGGAAAATGTGCCTCGGAAGGAGAGGGTTACCTCGGAACACAAGTTTGTTGATACGCATGCAGGACGACCTAGCACGTGGTGGTACGACGATCGACGCCCATCCGCCCCTCAGTTTACCAGTGCCTCACGCCCAGTGACTATCCCACGTCAATTCGTCACCCGGATTTTCAGTGTTTTGTTGGATTTTTGGTCATTTGACCATAAAAAGTTGTTATTATATATCTCACCATGGGTCCCAAGAAAGCCAGTGGTAAGGATCAAGGTAAGAAAGCCCATGTGAGGATGACAATAGTGGAGAAACAAGAGAACATTCGGAAGCATGAAAATGGTACACGTGTTATTGAACTTTGTAGGCAGTACAACAAAGTCACATCAACAATGTGCACTATACTTAAGAAGAAAAAACCAGCGTTGAATGTAATGAAACGCCATTTTCTGGGTGAGCCCCGGAGGCTCCCTGGAGCTTATCAGGCTAATGTATGTTATGTTAGGACATTAGCTATGGAGTTCAGACCTACCAGGGACCAGCCCCAGAACCTGGTCTCTTCAGAGAGGTTTCAGGGAGCAATGGCCCTAGAAAACCCCATATGGTTCGGGGTTTTCATCATCTGCCATCGACCGGGTGTAACAAACTAGCTGTTGTAGGAATTATCTAGAATATTTTATCTATGCATGGGAGAAATAATGGACATGGAAACTCTGATGACCTGTGACCGCAGGCCACCCACACCATACCTCAACCCCAACCTAAATCCGTACCCCAACCCGAGGCCACCCACACCATACCTCAACCCCAACCCCAACCTCAATCCATACCCCAACCCGAGGCCATCCACACCATACCTCAACCCCAACCTCAATCCATACCCCAACACGAGGCGACCCACACCATACCTCAACCCCAACCTCAATCCATACCCCAACCCGGACCAGGCAATGTGATGTAGTCATTGTGCGAATTCGCCTTGGCTATAGACACATCTGGCAGGTTAGTGAGGCTGAGCCACTACCAGAATACTCAGATTGGAAACTCTGTGATAAACCTTTAATGCATTCACTAGAACACTATATTGATGAATGTGAAGCCGTTAAGGACTTTAGACCTCCTGGCCTCTTGTACCACCAACTGTGTAACTATTTTATTGACTCAGGTGTTCTGGACGACATCCTAACAATTTATCCAAAATTTGCTTGTCCATTTTAACCCTTAACATGCTCGGGGTTAATATCCTGTCATCCCCACAGGCGCATGTCATTTTGAAAAAAAAATAATAATTTTTTCTTCTTAACCTGTTAATTTGTGTTCACTGATCACGCGAAAAATAATAAAAAAATCGTAAGTGGCATATATTGCCCGCTATAGGGCGGGGAAGTCTGGCAAATTATAGGTGCTGACTCAGCATGCATCCCAGGCGGTCTGTTGCTCGCCAGCTGTCAGGCCGGAGTTGCCACAAAGAGATAATTATCTAATTATTTCAATGTCTCTGATTGATTTTTCACAGTATTTTGCTGTAAATAGTGTGTAGTTTGATATATTTATATAATAAAATGAGTGAATCATTGCTGTACTCAAAAATATGGTGTGCATATTGTTGATTCAATTATGTTCATCAATCAGTGAACAAATACTTTGTCGGTTATTACACTATAAGCACAGGTTATATATAAGGATCTGCATGTTTTGTTCACTATAACGAACCACTAAGTAGCTATTATGAGTCAAAAAGTAATGAGGAGTGACCGCCGTGTACCAACCAGCCACTCCCTCCAGTCATCTGACTCACCCACATTCTCCTCCCACAATACTGTTTTTTCTATAATTCACTATATACAGACATTATATATACAGTAAGTATCCACATGTTTTGTTCACCATAACTGTACATCTAAGCTTTTATGGTGAGTAAAGGCACAAAGACATAGGACCTCACACAGCAACCCGTTCTCGCAAATTTAATAAGTCAATATTGACTTATTAAATATGTGCATAGGTGACATACTTAACATAATAGATACCCTTAAAAAGATTCATAGAAAACACCGACCTTACCTAACCTTGTTAGTATCTTAAGATAAGCATCTTATTGCTTCGTAATTACAATTATTACCTAACCTATAATAGGTATAGGTTAAGTAATAATTGTAATTAAGAAGCAATAAGATGCTTATCTTAAGATACTAACAAGGTTAGGTAAGGTTGGTGTTTTCTATGAATCTTTTTAGGGGTATCTATTATGTTTAGTATACCACCTATGCACGTAGTTAATAAGTCAATATTGACTTTACGAATTTGCGAGAACGGGTTGCACACAGTCAGCTGATGGCTGCCGCCCTCAAAGCCAGACGCACTAATATTTTTCCTCCAACAATACTGTGTGGTGTTATTACGCTATATATCTTATATACAGACGTTATATATAAGTATTTACATGTTTTGTTCACCATAACTGTACATCTAAGCTTGTATGGTGAGTAAAGGCACAAAGACGTAGGACCTCACACAGTCAGCTGATGGCTGCCGCTCTCAAGGTCAGACACACTAATATTTCTCCTCCAACAATACTGTGTGGTGTTATTACGCTATATACACACATTATATATAAATATCTACCTGTTTTATTCACCATACTTGTACAAATAAACTGGTATGGTGCCCAAAGACCATCGTGGTAACCAGTAAACAACACCGTCGTCTGCACGGTGGCGTCGTGCAGACGACGCCACCGCCCTCACCAAAATGGCGGCTCCAAACCTTCTCTTGCTATTTATACCCCTCTATACACACATTATATATAAGTATCTACATTTGTGTTCACAATAGCGAACCAATAAGCTGGTATGCTGAGTGCAGTCAATAAAAGGTGGCCACACACAGTCAGAAGACATCACCACCACCCTCCCTCCCACAGCATTACTCCTCCCTCCATGGTGCACAGCACCAAATATCACCACAATACTGCTATTATCAGAACCCTGGTCAGTTTTATCAGTCAGGGGTCTTCTGTAATAATATCATCGCTACATAATAGCATGAACAAGTTTATTTTGGCATTTTTAGGCGATGCTGTGGTCACAAGCTGAACAGCAGTGCTGTTAGCTCATGCTGCATGCATCAGGCTTGGTTGCTCACTCAATACCGAGGCCAATAACACCCGGGAGTTTGACCCACGATTTTTTTTTTAAATGGCGTCTGTTTACAAGAGCCCTGATGGTGTGGTGAACCCCGTGTATCCGCGGGCGGATACATAACGTGTGTATAGTGTGAGATAACAGTGAGAAGAGTATGTTGGGAGCTGCCATTTTGGTGAGGGAGGAGCGTCGTCTGCACGACTTGGCATGTTGTTTACTGATGGCCACTATGGTCTTTGGGCACCATACCAGCTTATTTGTACAGGAATGGTGAATAAAACAGGTAGATACTTATATATAATGTGTATATATAGCATAATAATACCACAAACAATATTGTTGGAGGAGAAATATTAGTGCGTCTGGCCTAGAGGGCTGCTGCCGATCAGCTGACTGTGTGAGTAGCTACATCTTTGTGCCTTTACTCACCATACAAGCTTAGATGTACAGTTAAGGTGAACAAAACATGCACATACGTATATATAACGTCTGTGTTTAGTGAATAAATGCAAAAACATTATTGTGGGAGGA